AACGCGTGGCTGGCGTGGCTGTGGCTCGCGCGCTGTCGGGCGGTGGGTGGCGGTGTTTCGCTCCTCTCCTCGCCCGGGTCACGGAGCCGTTGCCTTGACGGCTGCAGCCGTCAGCGCACAGCATTTCCCCTTCATCTTGGCTCCCCGCGTCGGAGGGAGATAGTCCTCCCACATCAATGTAAACGTTGTCTCTCCTCCTGCCGTCGCGCGCCACCGTCTCGTGCGGCTCAACGGAAAAACCGCTCCTCTGGCTCACATCAATATCTGCACCCACAAAGATGTGAAAGCAAAAACACAAAAGGAGGGGAAAAATAAAAAAATGAGGAGCAGGGAGGTTGGTTCACAGTCTTGTCCCCAATTAAGGTGCTGACATAACCGCGCTCGAGCCCTGTGCTGTGGTTTTGGTGACAGGCACGGGACTCCCCAGTATGCGGGAGGCGAAAATCGACCGTGCGCCCGTGCGTCTCTGCCTCTGCAATTCCAGCTCTCTGTCTCTCGTGCGCCCCAGTCTCCGCTGTGCCTCTCCAACGTGCCTGACTGTCAAACCCATCCGGGTATCCGTAGCTGGCCTCACTTTACACCTCTGGAACTATGGGAACAGTAGTCTACTGGAGACTGAAAGAGAGCTAGCGTGAATGAGGAAGGCGGCGAAGAGAGCGAGAGACACAGACACGAGTGCGAGTGGGAGGAATTTCAGAGGACTGATAATAGTTGGCAGCGCCAGGGATGCCAATTACACTAATATCATATATAATATAAACTTCAGGCCTGTTTTAAAGATATTTCTAGTAAGGTTAATTCACGATGTCACTTTTTGTACTCATGCTCTTTCTTTCTTGTGTTTTGCATCTGATGGCACCTGTCTTTGACATTACCTAAAATAAAACACCAAACAAAACAGCATAAATGTCCAAATACACAGAATAAGAGACGTGTCTTAAACCGGAAAAAGATATTTGGTCTTTATTACAATAACATGACAGGGGAATTTCAACATAAAGGTTACACACATTTAAAATACTATCTTTCATATTCCACTGACCTCAATCTTCCCCCCTTTATGTATAACATTTCACCCTGCCCTCCCAATGGATGAAAACTGTATACATAATAACTGGATATAGAAGTCTGTGATGCACATATATATTTGAGTTAAATTAAAACAACAAAAGAGACAGCTCATACAAAATTGTCATAAAAATGAACAGATAAACAAAGAGCATTCCTTAACATCTCTCTGACTTTACTAACACAGTATCAAAAGGTATTTAAAATCTAAAACAGCCCTCAATATGGACACTTTAAGGCACATGTTGGTGCAAGTTTGAAATCAGATGATGGACATGGATTAGTTCAACAGCCTTTTTATAGTCTGTTTGTAAGAGGAGGTTCAGGTTCATGAGGTTCATTTTGAAATTTTTTTAAAGGCACTATTCCAATTGTTGTTTGAAACCTGTTGCACCTTCTGTCATTTCTATATCAATATATTTATCTCAGGTCAACAAACTGCCTGACTGAATCGTTCTTCTCAGACACAGATCAAAGGACCTGAACATATATGGCAGCTGAACAGATCATCTACCAACTCGACTTCCCCCCACCTCGAAACAACCATCTACATCTTCTTTCAGTTCCTTGTTGTCATGGTTACAGAGTAAAGCAACATTACTGCAAGGCCTGACCAGCAGAGCTCCGACTCTGCTCTTCAACATGGTTGACTGATCTGTCCTGAACGGGCTGCAGCGATTGATGACCAAAAGGAGGAAACTGTCATTAAACAATTTAAACAAGGCAATGATATGTATCTTAGTATGTGTGTGCTGTGTGTGTGTGTGTGTGTGTGTGTCATTGTACATGTCTATCAGTGTATCTGCATGTATATATCCATGTCTGCCTGTCTATCTATCATTCATTCTCTTTCCGTTTGTCCGTGTATTGAGACACATCTGTCCTATATGTGTGTGGTCACAGGTTTTCTCCGGGCTGGTACTGCGGCTCTGTAGCGGTGAAGTAATCCTCCAGGAAGGACTGCAGATACTCAAAAGTGTGCCTCTCATCGGCCTCCCGCCTCCAGCACTGCACCATCAGTTCATGGAGCGAGGAGGGGCAGCCCGGGGCACAGGGCATCCGGTAGCCCCTCTCCACCTGCTCCAGCACTTCACGGTTGTTCATGCCTAAAGGGATGGAGGAGGGAGGGGGGGGATGTGGACACAGGAGAAGGTGAGTGGGTTAGATTAAAAAAACAACACAAAAACAACACATATTGGAAATGGAGAAAAATAAAAAATAAAAAACATTCCTAGAAATCATCCAAAAAAATACATCTAAATATGGTTGCAGCTGCCATTTATTAATATACCACAATATGATGGGCTTTGAGTTTCAGAGAATTTTAAAGAAAATATATAACAGCCACAAACGGGCAACAGTCATGAGTTTGTTTTGTTGATCTATTTTTTGCATGTCACGTGTTTTTAGGAATATATATTGCGCATATGTTTTTATCTTCTTTGTCATTGTATATTTATTGCTGTTATTTGATGAATCTTACATCATCCTTATGATTGTATATGTTTTGTAGCCTCTGTTTTTGAATGATACAAATCCAATCTCCTCCTATTAAGCTTAACAGAAAATAGCAAAAGGGAAAATGACTGCAAAAACAAGTATTTAAAAATCCACACATTTTGTAAAAGTAGCAATACTCGCAAGAGAAATTATAGTGATTTATTGCAGCATCAGTCACCCCTTAAGAACATTCAGTAAATAGTGCTTAAAAAAGGAGTCACACCTTTACTTTTGAAGCACTTTTGAGCGAGACACTGAGGTCCTAAACTCACTCAGTGTTGTAATGTATTTTGTTCTGGTTGAAAATGAAAAGGTTAACCCCCAAACTCTCCATCGTCATAGTGTATAATTTGTATAGTAATATCCTGGAGGATTTCCATTGCCAAGGATGATCAACCTGTTACTGCGTGAGATTAAGTAATAGTAATATCCTGTACCTGGGTATGGCACCCGTCCCTTAGTGATCAGTTCAGTTAGTAGGATGCCAAAGCTCCAGACATCTGACTTGATGGTAAAGCGTCCATACAGTGCAGCTTCTGGAGCCGTCCACTTGATAGGGAACTTCGCCCCTGAAACCATGGCAACACAGTGAAGATGCATAATCATATAATTAGGATTGGTTATGTATAAAAATATAGGCATGGAGGCAGTGGCAGACACTCTTAATCATTGTGCAAGTGTGTCTCTCTTCCTCTCTCTCTCTCTCATACACACTGACACACACTCACTCATTTATTCTCACATGCTGTTACCTTGTCTGGCTGTGTACTCGTTGTCCTCAATGAGCCTAGCCAGGCCAAAGTCAGCGATCTTGCACACCAGATTGTCTCCAACAAGGATGTTAGCGGCTCGCAGGTCACGATGGATGTAGTTCATCCTCTCGATGTATGCCATTCCTGCTGCAATCTATAATAAGCACAAAGAGATTTTAAAAAAGCTCAGCTCAGAAAGATGTAAAAGCCTGTGTTTTCTTTAAGTCTGTCTTTGTGTGTCTGTTTAACACACCTGTGCAGCCATGTCCACCAGTTGAGGCAGCTTCAGGTTCTGCCCTTCCCCATCTTTTAAGAAGTCCAACAAACTTCCTGAAAAACAAAGATGGTAGCGTTATGACTGGCCCCTTATGCCTCCAGTCATTAACACTGCTGTGTACAAAATATGTGTCCAATCAAATTCGTATTAGATAGATGCTTGTAAATGCATACAGTGGCATCTTCATGCCAACTTTTGTCTTTTTGTTTTTAAAAAAATATTGAAGGTATGTTTCACCTGCGCCCAAACCACCTCCACAGGGAGTTCAGTGGTCAGGCTCAGAGGGCTTGGACCTTCTGACAATTTTTAAATATTTGATAAATTCCCTGACAGCTAAAGTTGATGTTTTATTTTCCTGTTTGGTAGTTTGTTTGTCTGTTTGGTACCAAGCAGGATATCTCAAAACTTTGTCATTTTAAAGAATGGTTTAAGGACAGGGTCCAAGTAATAGGTAAATAATGTTTCTGGGTCCAGATCCATCCAATTTTAAGGATTTCAATGCAAGATAGGATGTTTCTGAGAATTTTTAAATGTATTATAAGAAATGGAGGGATTGTGGAACCTTGGTGTTGGTATGCCCTCTCTGAATTAGCAGTTTTATCAACTATTCATCTAATTTAAGGAACGCTTCGGATGAGCTCGCTTTTCGGAGTCAGTGAAGTTTCCAACCAAAGGCAGTGATTCATATTGTATCTACAGTACGTCACAGGCTTGACAGTTTACTCAGCCTGATACCTTGGCTCATGAACTCAGTGATAATGTAGATGGGCTCCTCAGACACGACAGCGTAGAGCTGCACCAGCTTGTCATGGCGGAGTCTCTTCATGATCTGAGCCTCCTCCAGGAAGGCCTCAGGGGACATGGTCCCTGGCTTCAGAGTCTTCACCGCTACCTTGGTGGTACCATTCCACATGCCTGGCATACAGACAAGGGAAAGTTAATGCACATATAGTACATGGACACACACGGATTTATACTGCACAGGCCAATTTTCTGGCATACTGACAGTGTGATGGCTGTATACATGTACATACTATTTATACAGGGACACAAACAACCACACAAACAGATATAAATATCAAGAAAAAGGCACACAGTATGTAAGCTGTAACAATCACACACACACATGTGGTCAAACCTCTGGTGCATGCAAATGATTGTTATTTTTTCGAGAGCATGCATGACATGAGATGGGTAATGTTATTAGGGAGGGAGCGAGGGAGGTTTACTGGTCTTACATCAACACCAGCAGCACCTGAGTTACACGGGCAGGCACAAAGCTTGGCTGGCTTCAGGGAGAAACTCTGCACGGCTCAGAAAACCCAACGCACTCAGATTTATTCAGGGAAACTGTGTGATAATGTCAACACGAATTGGACAAATATGTAATTGGAAATACATAATGAGGGAATACCAAGTGATACTGAGAAAAACATCAAACTTTACTCACATCCACAGCCAGACATTTAGCATTACCAACAATCTACAGGACAGTAACGGACACTACAGAGCACGATGCGGGACAGACAGTTCTCCCTCTAAGCCTCTGGAGGGCGTCAGAGGTTGGCGGTGTCATTCTCACCCATCCAAACGTCCCCGAAGCAGCCCTGTCCCAGCTTCCTTTGCATTGAGAGCGTTTCCCTGGACACTTCCCAGGCGTCCCGCCCAAGGCCCATGGTGAGTGGGGTGGAGTTGGGACAGGGCTTGGTCAGGTAATAACACAGCCCGTCATTACTGCCTATTAGGGGAGGGGAAGAGGTGGGAGCCGACAAGGAGGGTGGAGATGTAAAGAAAGGAAAGAGTGGAAGTGGGTGATGAAGAATGGGAGAAAAGGGTGTAGTGATGGGTGGAAAGATGGGTGGGAGGGGGGGGGGGGAAAAAGGGGGG